CACTTCTGCAGAAACCCTTAAGGTTGAAATGTCCTGAAAAGTCTTCTGATGCAGACCGAGTTTACCTAGAAATGTCATTTCCAGACCTGCAGCCAGGATGCACTTTCCAAACTGAACATCTGCCTGCCATACCTTTGAATCGCACCCTCTAGCCTAAGTTTGCCTAAATTCTTTCATAGTGATCTGTGGATCACCTTCTAGATACAACTCCCTAAGACAGGAAAGGGGAGTCATGTGATGAAACCATAGTCGCTGAGCCTAAGGGCTGGGAGCTGATGTTCACTCAGTTATTTATTCAACAAACATTTATTGAGTACCTTGTTAGTGCAGGGTCCCTGGTGGTTAAAGTGATTGACTACTAACCACCTAACGGTTGGCGGTTTGAATCCACCAGCGACTCCGCGAGAGAAAGATGTGGCAGTCTGCTTCCATAGAGATTTACAGCCTTGGAAACCCTATGGGGTCGCTGTGAGTCCGAATCGACTTGACAGCAGTGGGTTTGGTTTTTGTTAGTGCAGGCACAGGCTATGTGCTGGGGATAGAGTGAGGAATAACAAAAAGGTTCTGCCCTCAGGGAGCATTCATTGTGTTGGGGGTGCTAGACAGTAGACCAGCAAAGCAGTACATATGTAATGTTGTTGTTGTTGTTAGGTGCCCTCCAGTTGGCTCCTACTCCTAGCGACCCTATGTACAACAACGAAACGCCACCCAGTCCTGCACCATCCTTACAATCGTTGCTATGTTTGAGCCTATTGTTGCAGCTACTGTGTCACTCATGGTTGAGGGTCTTCCTTTTTCACTGACCCTCTACTTTACTAAGCATGCTGTCCTTCTCCAGGACTGGTCCATCCTGAGTAGAACTGCCCCATAGGGCTCCCAAGGAGCGGCTGGTGAATTCAAACTGCCAACCTTTTGGTTAGCAGGTGTAGCTCTTAACCTCTGTGCCACCAGGGCTCCCAGAGGAAGGTATGTGACTAAAATCCCACTGTGCCTTGCAACAATGACCAAGTCTCTAACTCCCAGGTCAGGAACATATCCCTGGTTTTCAGAGGCATAGACATGCAAATCACAGATGTTTTAAACTTTATGCATAAACAGAAGACCCATGGAAGGGGCTTTTCTCTTTTAAAACACTTTAGAAGTTTCTAGTAAATTCTTTGTGCCTGAATTTGCTCAGGTGTAAAGATGGTAAAGTTAAGGCCTCTTTGCCCAGGGGCGCAGGGAATGAAGGCTATAGACTCCAAATCCCCATCCCATGACTCATCTTCACCAGCTGTGTAACATAAAAAAAAAATCCTCACAATTGGACCAATAAGCAACATCATGATAAGTGGAGAAAAGACCCTGTCAAGGATTTCATTTTACTTGCATCCACAATCAACACCCATGGAAGCAGCAGGCAAGAAATCTAATGACATATTCCATTAGGCAAATCTGCTGCAAAAGACCTCTTGAAAATGTTCAAAAGCAAAGATGTCACTTCGAGTACTAAAGTGCACCTGACCCAAGCCATGGTATTTTCAATTGCCTCATATGCATTTAAAAGCTGGACAATGAATAAGGAAGACTGAAGAAGAATTGATGCTTCTGAATTAGTGTTGGCAAAGAATATTGAATTTGCCATGAACTGCCAGAAGACTGAACAAATCTGTCTTGTAAGAAGTACAGCCAGAATGCTCTTTAGACGCAAGGATGGTGAGCTTCAGCTCACGTGCTCTGGACATATTACCAGGAGAGACCAGTCCTTGGAGAAGGGCATCATGTTTGATAAAGTAGAGGGTTGGCAAAAAAGAGGAATACTCTCAATGAGATGGATAGACACAGGCTATAACAATGGGCTCAAACATAGCAGTGATTCTGAGAATGGCACCAAAACCAAAAACACCAAACTTGTTGCCATCGAGTTGACTCCAACTCATAGTGACCCGAAAGGACACGGTAAAACTGCCCCATATGGTTTCCAGGGAGCGACTGGTGAATTTGAACTGCTGACCTTTTGGTTAACAGCCTTAGCCCTTAACCAGCATGCCACCAGGGTTGCACAGGATGGGGCAATTTTTCCTTCAAATGAACGTAGGGTTGCTATGCGTGGAAACTCGACTCCAGGGCACGTAACAACAACAACAACCAGCTTTGTGACCTTGGGCAAGTTAATGCCTGACTCTCAGACTATTTTCTGAACAGTAAAACTGGAGTAACTGGAGCAGCCTTTCGTCCACGTTGTCAGAGCAGATCAGAGCGCCTGTAACTATGACCACATCCCAGCTGCCCTCTCCCTCCCAGCCGCGCCGCCTGCTTTCCCTTTAGCTTTCCTTCCCTCGGTGGAAGCCGCGGACTAGGGCCCGGACGCCTCCTCTCTGACCGGTACATGCTCTGCGCTGCGGCCTGGAAGCCGCTGGCCCGTTTGGTGGGGCTGCCGGACAGCAGTGAGCATGCGCGGCCGGCTGGTAGAGCTTGCCCGCAGAGCGTCGATCCCTGCAGTACCGCTGGCGGCCGGTGGCGTCGCTGCGCAGCCACCCTCCCAGGGTCGCCGCGCGGTTGGGCGCGTAGAGTTCAACCTGGCGCCGGCGGCTTGGGATAGGGCGCCCTGCTAACTTGGGCCACTGGGGCTGCCACCTGCAGCGCTCAGCGCCCTCGCTTCCTCCGCCCCTTCCTTCGGGAATCTGGGATGTGATGCTTTGCTTTTGTTTTGCTAATACCTTGGGAAGGGAGCCCTGGTGGTGCAGATGGTTAGGAACTTATTTGCTAACCAAAAGGTTGGTTGGAACCGTCCAGCGTCTCTGCGGGAGAAATAGTTGGCAATCTGCTTCCATCAAGATTGCAGCCAAGAAAACCCTACTCTGTCACATGGGTTGCTATGAGTTGAAATCAACTCAGTGTCACCGAGTAACCACAATTCCTTGGAAACAGGAGAGTTGGGGCCTCGTGCACAGCACTTGTGCACTAACAAAGGACGGCCAGGCCTCCTGGTGTGTTCGCCTGCCCAAATGTTGCATCAGACCAAAAGGTCACCCTGCAGGATCTAGAAGATGAGGTATCAAAGGCGTTTCTGATGAGTTCCCGGCCCCTCTCACATTCTGTTAGACCTACGAGTAAATGTGTGCGGCCGCTCCAGGCTGTAAATTGTACTGGACATGTGGCACGTCTGTTTTGTTCACTGTTGAAGCCCCCAGAATGTCGCATGCATAGCACCTGTCCCAGAACTGCTGGCTTCTAGTGCCAGTGTGGTCCCAGCGACCACAGACTGGGGCCCAGGCCAGGAACACTCAGAATGTGGTGTGCTGACAGTGACCAGAGCCAAATCGGTTCCCAAGGAGAGGCTAACGGAAACGGAGAACCAGTGTTCAGAAACGTTCATAATCTGCCCTGGCTGCAACATCCAAGTGTGGATCAATTCCAGGGTAGAGGAATTTGGGAAGGTAGGGTCAAACCCCAGCTGCTCTCCAGCCACCTGAGTGGGATCGCAGACAGATTGTTGTTGTCACTTGCCTTCCGGTCAAACTCAGCTTATAGTGACCCCATATGACAGTGTAGAACCACCCCATAGGGTTTTCTAGACTGAACAAGGGTTTACTTCATGGTTTAAAATTAGGAAAAGTGTGTGTCAGGGTTGTACCCTTCCCCATAATTATTCAATCTGTATGCTGAGCAAATAATCC